TCATCAGCAGTTATTGGCTATGTCGTCTTGAATTCCATGTTGATTATTCTTGGATTATCAGATTTATAATGTTATGTCATGTATAGCAAATATTATTTAAGATGCTTTACTTGGTGAATTGATAAAAAGAAATTATATTACTAAATTATCCCCATAGAAATATTCTATCATTATGGCATAAATGATAGTAATTTCAATATTTGCTATGTATTTTGAGTGTGTTGGTACTCTTAAATTGCTGTAGTTGTAGGTAAGATAGTAACTAAAAGTATAGTTGCAAAAGGTTGGGTATTGCCATTTAAGTATTTTACATTTAAGATCTTTATTTTATAAAATTTCTATATTTTTGAACTCAAAATTTTTTTATTTTTTTATATAATAACTATTCATTTTTAATTAAATTAGTTAACTTATCTGCGAGATTACCGATTCTGACAAGAAATTATATTTATATTATATTGATTTATTTTTATTTTTTTATCATCATAAGCTTAATATTTTAATCAAATAAAAAAATTCTCAGATTATAATAATGTGAATATAATAAGATAATTCGTTATTAACTTTATTTTTTTATATTTGTCAAATTTCACACATTGTATTACTGATTTAAACTTTGAACATTTTTTCACAATAATTATCTGAAAAAATTACCGTTATAATGATTAACAAATGTAATTTTAAAAATTTAGACTAGACAATATTTATTGAGTATAACCTAATTTGTTTGCTAATAAGCAAAAAAAGATAATTTATATATACATTATGATAATATAAAAAAATTATATCATAACTTTACTTGTAACCTACTCTTTTGTGTATTTTAAAGCTAAAGAATTAGAATTTAAAGGTAGACTTAGATTTATCTATATACTAAAGTAACTAAGAAATTTAAAATTTCATCAGATATCTTATATTAGTTAAAGCAAAAATGGATTATTAATATAATTGAAAAAATTCAATAAATTGAATAGAATGAATTTATAAATTTTTTTTTGCTTTTTTTTTTATTGATATTATTTCTTTTGTTTATTTAGAATTAACTTTACAAAATGCTGAGAATAACTATACAACTACTATTATTACTGTTACTACTACCACATCATATTAAGACTTTTTTAATAAAAAGAGAATATTTAATAGCAAAAACTCCTTAACCCTTGATTTTCAATCTATGAATTCATCAGTAATACAACTGGAACTTAAAATCTTATTAGGATAGACAAGTTGTAAAATATTTTTAAAAATTATAATTATTTGTAATTGATTCTACTTGTTTTATCTTTATACTATAAAACTTATAATTTTTTTCAAGATATAACTTCTAATGAATATAAATTTTTTAAGAATATTATCATTATCTTTATCTGTTAAATACAAGAAAAAAAATAGCTATATACCAAAAAATGGAAAACAAAAGAAAAACAAACAAAATTTATAAAAGTAAAAAATAAAAAAAATATAAATTAATACAACAATAAATCAAATATTACCAATTAAAACATATCTATTAAGAGTAAGGTTGTTGTTTAAACTTATTTTAGATTTGACAAAATGTTTAAACTTTAGTTTTGCTAATTTTTTATTAAGGTTTTGATATAGGTTTGCATTTTTCTAAGCTTTTCTTTTTTGAATTTCGCAGATTTTTTAATAAGATTTTAATCTTAATTTTATTTTTTACCATTTAAAATAAATTGAATTTATGAGTTACCATTATTAAATAAAATAAAATTGTTATTTTTATAATGATTTTAACTTAAACATTTAATAAAAACTTAAATTATCTATAAATATAAAAAAAAAAAAATAATTTTAATGAAAAAACAAGAGATTATGTATATAAAAAGAATGAAAATTTTTTAAATAGTTATATAGTTAGGATTATATTTAAAAGTTTATATGATAAAATATCTGTAAATATGATTGATAAAAGTATTGATAAAACTTTGATAATTAAAAAAATATAATATAAAAGAATCAAAAAGAAACAAATTATTTATATATAAAACTTTTAAAAAAAGATTAAAATCATTTTTATATTTTATATTATTTTTTAATTTTATTATTAAAAAGATATATAACCAACAAATTAAAAGATGAAAAGTGTAATTTGTATTTATTTTTTTTGAAATAAAAAAAAATATGTAATAAATAGATATCACAATAAATAGATTTTGATTTTTAAACTTATATATATGTAAAATAAATGAATGATCTTTTATTGGATATATAAAATACAAAATAGATCCATAAAATAAAAGTAAATATTTATATAGTTTTAATTGATCCAGAAGCTTATATTTCATTTATATGGATTTTCAACAAAAGGAGTAAAATAGGAGAATATAATACTGGTTGTATCTTTTATTTATGTAAACATATAGATAATCTTATATCAAAAAAGATAGACTAGAATTTTCAATCTAAAAATGAAAGAATAGAAAGAAGCATTATGTGTTGACAAAGCTATCAGATGATTACAGAATGAGATTTATTAAAAAGCAATCAAGTTTTAACTGATAAACTTGTCATTCCTCCTTTTGAAATTTCAGATATAGTGAATAGAAAAACACAAAAATAAGAAAAACAGTTAGAAAGATGCTTTGCAATGATTGATTTCAAAAGTAGAAGGTGATAATTCAAAATGAAGCTTATATAACTGATGTGAAAACATTTAAAAAATTGTATAATCGGAAATATACAAATGCAGGAATTGTAGTATAAAATTAGATAGAGATATTAATGATATTTTCTTTGGGTTTTGCTTGATGGACCTCTTCATTTGCAGGAAATAATAACCTTACGTAGTATTGATTATTATAAAAGAAATTGGCCCGATTAACATAATTTTTCATGGCCAAAATTAAAGAATTCGGCCAAAGTTAAGGTGATAGAAAAATTTTCCGATTTAAAGGCAAATATAAACTTTTAATAATTACAATTTTTGCATAAAATTATTAAATTAAAATACCATGATTTAACTAAAAGAGAAATGGCGTCATTTTATTGATGGAGGTTGGTTCAATTTCCATTTATTAAAATGGACGACAACAAGGGAGATTAAACTCTCTTAGTGTCCCTACATTTGTTGCAATATCATCTTTTTATAAATATTCATCATCAATAATCCTTTAAAAATTCAATTTAATGGATTTTTCAGCACAAATTTATCAGATATTCTTCGTCGTCTACATTATAAAGAGAATTAAAGATTCATCATTCGCGTAATTTTTTTCTCATTTCCACGAAAGATTCATGGTTACTATAAACCCCCATACTAGTTTTAAAATCGAAACCGGTAATTTTTCGAAATTGGCCTCATTCGGTAGGGATTAGATATTCCGAGGTATATATACACCTTGCATAAGGTCTCATGCCACAAACATAAACTGTTTTGGATTGATTGAAGCCGGTTTTTCCTTCTATTGATTGTCACATGTAATTTATCCCTGGTTTCAGAGTAGATCATATCCAGAATCGTTAACTCAGATAGGTAAAGGGACTCTTTAATGAGATACCCAGATCTTTAAAGGGTGGGACTTATATTCATATGTTGATTTGAGGGTATTATAAACTAGAATAAATTTGTTATCTCTCAAGCAAATACTTTAGCCATAATTTGATAAGGATCGACATAATCTAGTTTTTTCCTTTTAAAAGGGGGACAAAGAAAAAAAAAAAATCAAGGTTTAATAAAAAAAAAAAAAAATATCACAATGAAAGAATTCACAAAGTCTCTGTGGCATTGTGTGATGACTGTGATGACATATGATCCAATCAACCTACATTCAATTTATCCTTTAAAGTCCTTGTATACCTATATTTTTTTTGCCAAATCTTTGATCTTCAATACATTAAAATTAAAATCTATTACACTATATTACACTTGTTTAAGGTTCAAGTTTCGTAACAATGTGCGGCACTTCATCGATCTCCACTATTATTCCACGAATATATATTGAAAACTCAAAACTTTTTTTTTTGGAAGTAAATAATTGACCGATCCAGCTAAAAAAATTGCTTCAATTATTTTCATCGATTCATTGATTCGTATTGAATCAAGATTTTGTTTTTCCCACCAAAAAAAAAAAAAAAATTATAAATAAACAAAAATGGCTGAACGTAGAAAAGAGGAGTTGTTGAAAAAAAGAGCAAAACTTGAAGAACTTCGAAGAGCAAGAGAAGAAAGAAAACTAAAAGAAAAACCAGAGGAACCTAAAGAGAAACCTGTAGAAAAAGCTAACCCGGTATTTTATCAAAAATTAATAAACCTCATTTTTTCATTTTTTTTTTTTTAAAAAAATAACCAATTTTTTTCTAGGTTGACAGAAAAAACGAGTTAAATAAACTTCTCGCGGAACTTATACCCAGAGCTGATCCAATAGAAACTGCGCTTGAAGAAAAACTTGACGAAAATAAGGATGTCACACCCTTACCTGACGAGTCGCAACCGACAAACGTTTCCACTCCTACTCCGATAGCTCCTTCAAGGTAAATGTTTCAAATTAAATTATCGTATCAATACTTGTTAATTAACATTCATTTTCGCATCAGTCCATCAATACAAGGAAGTCGTTTTATTCCCGATTTTGTCACCTTCGAAGCGGTCATATTAGATATTCCTCCAAAGGTGAATAAATAAAATTCCCTACACACATAAATGCTCACATGTCGCGTGTTATAAATGGCGTTAATTCAATTTTACACGTGATTTTATCATAGGAAATTGTATTTTATAATAAAGAAGTACAAACTACAGACACCTCTTTTATTCCTCCACCACCTTCGGAGGATGAAATTCGTGCAAAGATTGTTAAAGAATTTGAAGAAATCGAACGACAACGTAAAGCCCATGAAGAAGAAGAAAAAATTAAAGCTGAAATCGAAAAGAAAAAGGAAGCAAAATTATGGGGTAAAAATTATACCAACCATTATTATTATTGAATAACTTGAAAAGTTTGGTCTGATGATCTTTTAATTTTACATTTCTAGAATTATCCGACGAAGAAAAGAAGATTATTCTTAATTCGCCGGAATTTAAAGAATTCATTGATCTTTCTACAAAACATGTTGAAAGAGCGATCAATGAAAATTATGATTTCATGAGAGATTACCGAGCTGATGAAGAACTTGATGAGTGAGTTTATTTCTTTACATGCTGAATCCCTTTATATTTGCTATTCTAACAACAACATTATTTTAGCATCGATGAAGGAGGTCCACGTTTAAAGTACTTGTGCTCGTATTTTGATGATCGATGGACCAAAAATCGATCTGTTACCGATGTAAATTGGTCAAGCAAGGTATAAATAACACAGTCTACTTTTTGTGACGCGTCACTTCATTTATTGACATTCTAACATATATATTCATTAGAACCCAGAATTATTTCTTGGATCTTACAATAAGAATCCATATGCAATCAATGATCCAGATGGTATCGTTTGTGTATGGAGCTTACGTTTGTTGGAACGTCCTGAATTTATTTTCCACTCACAGGTTTGTAAAGTTGACAATTATTACATTTTTTTGTTTAAAAATTTTTTTTTTATTTAAAACTCTTATTCTAAATATGTTTTAGTCGGACGTTCTTACGACAATGTTTTCTGATTTCCACCAAAGTTATATTATTGGAGGGACATATTCTGGTCAAATTTTACTTTGGGATATGAGAGCCAAATCGTTACCGGTCCTTAAGACTCCTTTAGGAGCTTCGGGTCATACCCATCCTATATATTCAATGCAAATGGTCGGAACACAAAATGCTCATAACCTGATCACTGCAAGTACGGATGGTTTAGTTTGTTCATGGCAATTAGACATGTTGACTCAACCACAGGAATCTTTGGAACTTGTTCATTCGGATCATCCTAAAACCGAAGAAGTTTCAGTTACAACTTTTGGTTTTCCTGAAAATGAAACTTCTGCTTTTTGGGTTGGAACAGAGGAAGGCAATGTTTATCAAGCAAATAGATTTGGACATGCCGGAGGGTAAGTTAATATTACTTTTTAGTAAATTATTTTGGTTTACGTTATAACTGGGAAATTTTTTTTTTTAAAAAAAAACACTTTTAGAAAAGCTGGTATCAATCCGTATGACACTTATAAAGGACATTGGGGACCTGTTACAGGACTCCATTTCCATCCTCTCGATGGTCCAATAGATTTTTCGGATTTATTCTTGACATCATCAGTTGATTGGACTGTTAAATTGTGGCGTTCCAAGGTAAAATAAATAAATATATATATATTGATTTATGGTTGTCAAGATAGCAATTTGTTAATGACCTTTTTTAAAAAAATAAATCAGTCCGTATCTAAACCAACGGCTGGTGCACAAAATATTGTACCGTTATATTCCTTTGAAGGGGCAGATGACTATATTTATGACGTGAAATGGTCACCCACAAATCCTGCCTTGTTCGGATGTGTGGATGGAAAAGGATATTTCACCTTATGGAATTTGAATATGGATACTGAATTACCAATTGTAAATAGTAAAGTCAGCGATCGCGCGTTGAATAAACTTCAATGGGATCAAGAAGGAAAGAAAGTAGTCATTGGATCTTCAGACGGTCGTGTACACGTTTATGATGTCGGCGAGGTAATTTGGTTGAAGTTTTATTGAAGGCTTTTTTTTTTTGTAATGTTATTTATTTTTTTTTTTTTGATTGCAGTTATGTAATCCACGTGACGAAGAATGGAATATCATGCAAACCACGATATCAGAAATGATTGACAATAACGATCCTGGGAGATATGCTTTAGCAAAATAATTCTTTAAAATTTTAGTAAATGATTTTTCTTTGTTGATATATCAATTGTAAAATAGAACATATATTCTTTGAGGGTTATAAGGGAAATGGGATGTTTTTGTATTTATTTAATTTTTTTTTTTTTTATAAAATTTGATTGGTTTATTAAAAAGAAAATCTATTACGAGTAAACAATGAGAATTTTTTTTGGGTTTCAATCCTAAAATGGTTACTACGCACATAAAAAAAGCCCCAAACTAACCTTTATAAAAAATGATTATGTTAATTTGTAAATGCCTTTTTAAAATCATCGATTTGTTTTCCCTCCTTTCTTTTTCCACTTCATTATTTTACCTGATAAAAGATTGGTGTTTTAGCCACATTACATGCGGGAATTGCATAAATAGGGAACCCTGTAATAGCAATTAAATCAATTGTTTGTTTTTGTCGTATATCCATATTTCTTTTTTTAAAAAAAAAAAAAAAAATAAAAAATATTATAAACATTATTATTCTTATTATTATTTTTATAAAAGGAGAAATAAAAAAAAAAAAAAATCTTTTTTTAAATTAAAAAAATCTTTTTAAGGAATTTCTAAACTTTGTTTTATCGTAATATATTCGATAATTTCTTTTTTTTTTTATAATGAATGCAACAAGATATACACTTTTACACACGCCACTTATCGTATCGGTCGTTTCTCAATATTTCGAATATCAAGATGATATTTATAAATTACTTTTTGTGAATCCAAAATGGGCCAAGGTAAGTTAAATTGAAAATTGCGATTCCTTGGCTGCTTGATAATACCTCTTTTTCCGTCAAATCTTCTTAATCGGTTAAACTCACTTTCACTTTCTCGGATTTTTTTAAATTTTTTATTTTTTTTCGAAATACGATTCTTCCGTAAAGATGCTCGTTCCCGTGTTATGGAGAAGTCCGATATGGAAGACACCAAAATCATTTCAAAAATTCTTACGTATATTATCGGAACAACACCCACCACATCCATATGGGACGTTAGTAGAAAAATTGACATTCAAATCATATTACAAATCACTACCACCATTATTTACGATAGAAGCGTTAGAATTAATATCATTACATTGTCCAAACGTACAATATTTGACATTTGACTGCTTAAAACCTTCAAGATCATCATTATCATCATATTCCATCGACACGAGTAGCGATTTACCACCAAATATTTTGGCATCATTATTAAAAAGCTTTCCAAATTTAGTCGTATTTAAAGGACCAAAATTCAATTCAATGCAATGGATTGGGGCGGGATTAACACCGATGCGTAAAGGATTCCTTCCCTATGTAAGATCGCTGAGATTATCCTTAGATTGGAGAGATTTATCGATGCCATTCCTATTACATGACATTGGAAGTCATTGCCCTTCCATTATCGAACTTGATATCATAACCGACGTACCCGAACAAACTGCCAAAATCATCGTAGATGCTTTCCCAAATTTAACATCATTTTCATGTATCACGGTAACATTTCGAGCATTATACATATTAGTTAGTGGTTTGACTAAATTAACCTCATTAAAATTGCAATTCGGACAAGACATTACCGATGAAAGGTTACTTCAAATTTGCTCGAGGTTTCCTAAATTGGAATCGTTTTCATTATTAAAAGGTTGGAATAATTTACAAACATTCATAAAATCTTGGTCAATGATTCAAAAGGATACTTTAAATCAGTTGGAATTCTCACATAATAATGGGTTAACCAATGAAATGTTATTACCTATCTTTCAATTATGTTATAATTTATCCACCTTGAAATTAATTCATTGTCCTGGCGTATCGGATAGTTCCATAACTTATTTATCTCGACATCAAGGTTGTCGATTGAAAAATTTATTAATTCATTATAATTACAACATTTCCGATCATGGGATCAACAGTTTGGCCGAACATTGTGGTAATTTGATTTCCTTTAACCTGTTAGAATGTCCTAAAGTTACCATCAAATCTTTAAGTCAAGTTATTAAACGATGTAGGAATTTGTTGGAATTCTATGTTAGTTTTAATAACAAGTTGATGAACGGTTTAGTTAGTTGTTACAATTCTTGTGGTAATTCGAATTTATTGGTTTTTGGAAATCGTTACGTTTGTTTGGATACTACGCAGATTTCAAAAACTATTGATAGTTCAATGTTACTTAAATTGTCAACGTGTATACCAAACCTAAGGAAATTGGACATAAGGTATCCGATCAAAAATGTGAATCCAAACGTAAGTTCTTTGGACACTTTTTTTTTGGTTACTTTGATTGATCTCTCTTTAACCTTTTATTTTTTTTATTTTTTTTTTAGAAATTAATTAAAGCTATACTTAATTTTAAGCAACTTGAGAAATTGTGCATTGTTCCTCCACCGAATTTAAAACGAAAGCATTTAAGTTTGTTGGACGCTCAACATAAACGGTTAAAAGAAATTTGGTTTATGACAAAAGATCACCCTAAAATTCGACAGTACATTTATGAATCTGACCTTTATAATAAGAATGGCATTAGGCTTATACTTTGCATGTTATCCGATTACGAAGAAATTTAACGATCGAGGTTTGGCGGAAAGCGCTGTGGGATTGTGGGATTAGAACGTAATGGGAACACATAATTGAGGGGTAATTTGGAAGGGTAATTTTGAAAAGGTAATTGGAGGGTAATTGGAAAGGCAATTAATTGTAAGCGGTAACTGGAAAAGGGTAATGATGGGGGAATAATGAACATTTTATTAAGAAAATATTATGGGTTCATTTCGTGTTTTTACGTATGTATTTCATACATAATAATTTCGTTCAAGATACCATCTCAACTCGAATGATATTCGAGGGTAGGGTGCATATCGCTAAAAGGTTTCGCAATGTGTAATTCTTTATCGCACTCACATTTAACTAATACTTAGTAAATAAATATATTGAAATAATAATCTAATAAACAATCGAGCGGAACGCTCGAATTCTTCAACGCCTCTTTCGAGGACTTAATTTAAACCAATTATCGGTTAAAGAATGATTGTAGATCAAACGATGGTTCCATATGATCTTGATCAAATAGGCAACATGGTTTTTTTTTAAAAAAGATAAAAAACCATCAACAAATGTTTTTATATATTGGTGAATTTTTTGTGCCATACAAGCAATAATTTAATGATTTGGTATTATCTAATCTAGAACCAGCTCAATTTGGACTGTAAAGTAAAATCATAGTATGTTTAACCTTAATAGGTAAGAATCGTCAATTTTCTTTTTACCAATTAAGGTATATTTGATGAGTTTAATTTGTACGGATGTGGATAAATTACGTATGAAACACTCCATCATACTACACACGCGTAACCGACGTTCAGTTAAAAGAAAGATTTTCTATTATACTTTAATCTATAACATTCTAAGTATCTAATTAATAATAATTAAAATTCGAATATATTGTCATTATTTTTAGAAATTAATGATTTTAACATGTCGAATTCTCCAGAATTTTGACACATTTGATAAAATAATGAATTTGGATTTGAGATAAGGTTTCGCGGGCTATTAATTAAGAATAATTCAGTAAAGATAATTCAAAGAAAGCTCTTTTATTTTTAAGAAATAACAATAAATACCTATCAAATTCAATGATATTTCCTTGATCTATTATTATATTAAAAGAAAAAATTTTTTTTTAATTTTTTTTTTCTTTTTGCAAGTTGGAAATTTGTTGATTCATTACATACCTAATACAAGAATTCTATCATAATCGACAACAGTTCTCAATCTATGTGCAATACATAATACAGTACAATCTATAAATTCTTTTCTAATCATTTCTTGAATTTTATCATCCATATCAAAATCAATACTACAATAAAATGTTCAATTAACATGGTCGGTCATATATAAAATAAATTTAATAAAACAATTTATTTACCTTGCAGTTGCTTCATCCATAAGGATAATTTTAGATCTTTTTAATAAGGCTCTAGCCAAGCATAATAACTGTCTTTGCCCTTGACTAAGGTTTTTCCCACCTTCAGCTATCGGCGTATCTAAATTCTTAAATATATTTATATTCTTATAATCATCTAGTGTTGTTATTAAATCTTCTTCTTGCGAATTAAGGTGCTCCTCTTCTTCTAACGATGGCAGTAAACGTACTCTTCTCAAAGACTCATATAATTCATGATCTTCGCATTGCGAAAATGTATCAAGGTTGGATCGAATAGTACCTATTTTTTTTTTTTTTTAAAAAAAAAGTGTTATATAATATAAATAATGTCAATTACCATAAATATATATATATTTATTTACCTGTAAATAAAATTGGATCTTGTGGAATAATTGTAAGTCTTGATCTAAGATCTTCAATACCAATTGTACTTATATCGATTCCATCAATAATTATTTTTCCATCAGATGGTTCAATAAATCTAAATAATAATAAAGATATTGTAGATTTCCCCGATCCGGTTCTAAATCATAATAAAATATCTATGTAAGCCCTTGGAAATCCTTCAAACAATCAAGATAAGGAAGATTATACATACCTTCCAACGATACCAACTTTTTCTTGTCCAAATATTTCAAAAGAGATATGATGTAAAACAGGCTCTAATTCTGGTGCGTATCTAATTAATAAATCTTCTACTCGAATATTACCGTCATAAGGCCAACTAGCGGGTGGTCTAGGTTCAATTATTTCTGCCGCTTCTTGATTAATTTCCATAAATTCACATACTCTTTCTATTGAATTCAAATTCTTTTCAAATGTCGTATAACCCCTGACCAACCACATAATTTGCTTGGAGAATGACATGGCAAATGTTAACGATAATCCTGCTAATCCTGCATCGATCTCATCTAAATTCAAGATTATAAAGATTCCTGCTATAAATGTTAATGCTGCTCCCATAATATTATATCTCATTGATAACCATCTATTAACCGTGCATTTTGTGTAAAATGGTCTATTACTAGCATCAATTCTACAAAATTTTAAGATGGTCTGTTAATAAATAAAAAAAGAATTTTTTTTAAATAAATATATATTTTTTTTTTTTATTTTACCTTACTAAAATCTCATCCATAAATCTTTTTGATGCGCCAAATGCTCGAATGGTTGAAATTCCACTGTAAAGCAAAAGATTTTAATGATATTTTATGAATTAAAATTTTCTCCTTCAATATCACTTACATTATTGTTTCACCAAAATGTGTATATGTAGGTGATTTTGCAATAGATTCTAATCTTTTAAGATCTCGTGAACATTTTGTATAAAATACTGCTTGGATTATATATACAACACCTATTATAAAAAATCAAAAATGGTTAAAATTATTAATAAAAATAAAAAAAAAATAAAAATTATAAATAAAGACTTATTTTCATCATACTAAAAATTAGTGAAGCAATTATGAATTCTAAGATTAAAATATAATTAGTTTAAAAACATATGTATTTTTCAAAAAAATTGACAAAGTGATACATACCCTTTGTAATAGCTGTTATCACTATTACGGTACCAGTCATCATTAAGAGCTTAAGCAAAAATAAATAAATAAATCAATCATATCATTTCTTTAAAAAATGAATAAAATAATAATAAATATTCTTACAAAATTAAGGCACAATGCCAAATTTCCTATAAATTACCAAAATTGTTAGAAAGAAAATTTTTTTTGCGGTATGATTTCTTTTTTTTTTTTTTTTTTTTTTTTTTTGGAAAATAACATTACCTGTTAAAGTGCTATCTATAGTTTCAAAATCTCTGCTAAATCTATTAAGAATTCTTCCAACAGGAGTTGTATCAAAAAACCTTAATGGTGCTCTAATGATCTTATAAAGCAAAGCTTCATAAAGTATTCTTGAAGCTCTTAACGAACCATAATAAAGCAAAGCTAATCTTGACACTCCAAAAAAAACGGATGAGATTGTAATTAATACATAATAACTAAAATAATAATTTGTATCATGTGAATTTGGATCTGATGGGATATCAAATGATGGTTCGTAAAAGATCAGTGACGCATAATTTATAAAATTCACTTTTTCACTAGCATTTGACCAAACTTTTAACCACCAATTTTCTGCTACTTGTGATAACCTTGTGATTATGAAGAGTATTGTGACCATAAACCAGAACCAAAAATGCCCATTTGCCAAGATGTACGTCATATAGATTCTAATTTTAACGCTTCCAATTGCATATTCTACAATTATAAAAAAAAAATTGATTTTTGTTTTTAAAATTTATATCAATATAATTAAATTAAAGTTTACCTTCAGCTTGAATTAGCTTTTTTGGAAATTTAGTTTTTGTCGAATCTCTATTTTCATCTTTGCGAACCGTGGATGCAACTATCGAATCTTCTTGATTTGACTCTTCATTAATAGTTGTTCCTTCACTATTCAGTCTTTCATCTATTGGCCGGATTTCATCTTCATTACTTTTATCAGAAAAAGCATTTGATGGCACTTGAAAGTTCGTATTTTCAACTACTGTTTCAATAATATCTTCAACTTCATTATTAGTTTCTATCGCCAAAGAATTTTTTAATTCTTTAGCAGTACCAGAAACTTCAACTTTACCATCTTTTAATAAAACCGCATAATCAGCTTTTGTCAAAGATAAACCAACATGATGAGTAACAAGGATTCGTGTTCGTCCTTCCATCAATGGACCAGTTATACAATCAAACATTAAATGTTTAGCCGTATGAGCGTCAACAGCACTTAATGCATCATCTATAATTATATGTTTCGCCCTTGAATAAACCGCTCTAAACAAAATTATTCAATTACTTAAAGTTTTTATGAAAAAAGAAATCCATTTATTATTCTTACCTCGCCAATGCACAACGCTGCTTTTGTCCACCAGAAATTGTAATTCCTTTCTCCCCGATTTCTGTCAAATCACCATCTTCAAAGATTTCGAAATCTCTTTGCAAGGCACAAGCTTTTATAACAGCATTATAACGTTCTTCGTGAAATGGAAGCCCAAAAGTGATATTACTACGGATTGAAGCATTTTGGAGAAAAGATTCCTGTGCAACAAAGGCAACACAGTTATCCAGAATCCAATCTGATGTCATAGGATCAGGATTACACAAGTCCTCAGGGGTATTAGGGAAGAAAATCTCTCCCTTTATTAGATTCGTTTCTTTATCAAATAAAAGAATTAATATAAAATAAAAAGAATTAAAGCAATTTATACGTATAAAATTTTCGATATACCTCTGAGAAGTGACATCAATAATAAAGTCTTGAGAGATAAAAAAAAAATTTTAGGTATCATCTCATAAATAAATAAAAATGACGACAAAAAATATATCTATACCTTTCCTGATCCTGTATGTCCATCTAGAGAAAAAAATTCAATACATCACAGTCAATTTGTATGATTTCTTCATTAAATTATTAACACAACAGCCAACATTACTTACATATTACACTTAATTTTCCAACAGGAAATTCAATATTCAAATCTTTCATGATGAACTCATTACAACCTATTTCATTATTATATTCATTCCAAGTAACACTCGCATTTTTAAATCCAATTTTTAAAGAATC